ATATTTTATATATACTGTAATAAAGTACTTGAAAAAAAATATATATATAATATTAAAAATTTGCTATATTTTGATAACGATTATGTTAAAATTTATAAACAAAATTTGTAATAAAATTTATATAACACGATTTATATACATTTATATTGTGTTATACATTATTTTTCCCAAGTTATGTGATTTTATTTTAAATTTTTAGAGCAGTTTTGAGCAACTTTGATTTACCTTTGCAGCCAAATCTGCTCTGCCGCCGTCGAATCGTCGAGCCTTCGATCGTAAACAATCATGTAATATGTATACACGGAATGTATACGAGATGGCCCTGTTTCCATGATATATTCTGTCGCGAATCGCAAATATCGGAACGCGTGTATCCGATAAGAGATCGAAGAGATTCGGCGGAATTCTTAAATGAATTTCGCCATCGAGATTTGTTTACGCGAAAAATCTACATAGGCCATCCGCGAGAGAGCATTATATGCATACATACGACGACTTCTCTCAATTTCTATTTCAGGTTCCGTGAGAGAGAAAGACATGCATATTTGGCCTATTATCGTTCCCCCACGCAACCCCCTTCCCGCTCCCTCGGAGCCACGAAGCGGAGCCATGACACTACTGTCGTTCGGCACGTAAGCACTTTGCCCGCTCAAGCTCGCGATGCGAGAGACATCCATCGGTGGAGAAACTAACTAGCAAACGCGATATTTCCCCAGTCTCTAAAGTCGAGTACTTACTTATCGACACTTCAATCGGTAAACGCGATAGAGCATACATTCTGTTATTTTACACAAAAAGTATTTATATACATATATAAATAAATAAAGAATCCATAATTAGTGATAAATTCATAAACCTTAAAATCTTTAAGATTTTAAATGCAAAGTTATACCTATAATAAATTTTATAAATTATGAGCTTGTCGCACTTTCCTCTCTTGGATATTTTATTTATATAAAAAAGATTTATACTAGATAATATCTTTAGTGTATATATTCATTATAGTAAATTGATAGTAAAATGTTATTTATATAATGATGTATATGTTATGTAAAATTTTTCATTATATAATAATATTATATAATCATATGATAATAATAAATCACAAATATTATGAAATACAATAATTACATAAAGAGTATTAGAAATGTGTAGTAAAAAGGACTACTTGCCTATTATCGGCAAGGAACGGTGTCGCGTGCGATACGAAATTAAAAAATAAATGGAAGATGCACAGAGAGAAGGAGAATGATGAACTCTATGTGTGTGTACATCGCGCAAGGGCCGACGGCCCCTTCTCAAGGCGAGCAACTCTCTCGTGAGAGAGATTACAGCATTTTTCCGACGGCGCCATTTTTTTGCCGTTCGTTGGTCGGGCCCTTTAGCCCTTACTTTCCTATGACCCTATCAGGCTTGTTACGTTTAGAATTACGCGCGAAAAATAAAACCGGATGCTTTATATTAGTCGCTTTTTTTAACCATCATTTTCCTTCACCACCACTTTCTGTTCTTAAAATGAAACAAGTATACAGAGTGTTTCACAATCTTAATTTTAAAAAGAAGATTTCTACAAATATGAAGTCGATTTGTTGTCAGTGTAAACGTGTCTAAAAGATACAAATAATTTCAACAAAAATTTTATCAGGATAAATAAATAAGAAGAAAATATTTCCCAGTTGATTTTGAGACAATTTTATTTTATTAATATTAATATCCTATCTTTAATATATTTTTTAGTTAATATATTACAAATATAATCAGCTTTAATACTATATAATATAATTTTAATATTTGACTATATTAATAAAACATATTTAATAATAATAAGAATACTTAATAAGAATAAATAGTAATTTTACACGAATTAATAGTTATTAATTATAGTTATTTATTATTTGATTTAAATAACTTAATTATATTTGATCTTTCTTACCAAAATTGAAATTGCGAGATCACTCTGTATACTTATATATAGATTATTGCTAAACTCTATAACAGAGTTATAATCAGAACAAAACTCGATTTAACGAGTTTAATTTCATTTTAAAACGCACCGTATAATTAAAAGAGAAATTTTATTTCTACTCACCACTGGAAAGCATTAAAGTGGAAGTAAACAAGACCCAGACCGTACAGAAATGATGCGTCCTTCCAGTAGTCGCCTTTTAATGAGTAGAATTTCTGATATGCTGACATCGCTATAACAAAAATTAAATTTATTAGTTTGCTTGATATTAAAATCAGTAAAACAGAAACTTTAAACTTGAGGTAGAGACTCAAAACGAAGCAAATAAAAAACTTTTATCAATGGAGTTTGGTTTTGAGAAACTTTTCTGTCATTATCTATTTTAATGATTTTTTTTTGTTATTAAGTCAACAGCTATGCAATCAATAACTTTACATTAGTGATTTATACAACTTAACATTTTACAGCATCTTACAGTGTGTATATATAGAAATACTTTACTGTTTAAAGAGAATCACAGTCTTGTACACTCAATAACATCTTTACTTTTACATTTCTAAAATAAAACTTAAATCAAACTGACTAACCCATAAATTAGTCTGAATTTTTAACAGACACAATGTATAATATATAAAATATTATTATAACAAAACTGTACCTTTATTGTAATCTTCTAAAAGCAGATGAAAGTGTCCCAGCTTGCAGTATGTCTTAGGATCGATGCTTATACCCTTATCCTCATCCTCGTTCTCCTTGGATTCATCGGGACTTGCTTTTGTAATATCCGCTTTCCTGCGTTGCTTTTCTGCCTGAGCTTGACCCAGCATACGCTCCAAATATTTGATTGCACGAACGACCACAGCCTTCCTCTTCGCCTGCTCCGGAGAGTTCAGCTTAAGAAAGCCAAACTGTCGACTGTGCATTCACAAAAGAAAAATTGCTTTCGTTATATATTACATCAGATTTATGATACACATGGATTCTACCCAACAAACTAACAATTGTTTTCTAATGATTTACATTAATCCTATTATACTAATAACTTTTCAGAATCTTTTAATATTAACAATGACTACGTTCACACGTCACTCTTAAACAGGTTTAATAACATCCATAACTTTAAAACTGGCCAATCACAGTTATTCCATTCTTCAGAGGAATAAAATCTGTAAAGTAGTTACAGATGAATTTTTACCCAGAGATATTTTAATTGTATAAAAAAATTCAGAAAAAATAATGAATTAATATTTTTAAATGCCTTATTGTTATATATGTGAAAGTACTTGTCTAGAAACTCTCTTATGCCCTTTGTAGATCGGAGGATGATTCTACTTGTAGCTCATCCGACTCACTTCAGTATGATTTTTACCCGTTTACACTATGCACTCGGATGAGCCACAAGTAGGATCATCTTTCGGTTTAGAAAGGACAAATCTGATCTATCGCCGAAAGTATGCATAGTATGTACTATATTTGTACATCAATTAAACACATATACCTTCCGAAAATAAACTAACAAAACATCTCTACTGCCGCTATATTGTAATCATAAAGAAAAGAAATATATATATATATATATATAATGTTTAATTTAAATACAAGTATATATTCATGGCTTGGCTGTTTTAATTGTGAAATCAAATTTCATATTATCATTTAACTATATGGCGAAATTTTCTGTTTGTATCACATTCGTCATGTGATGTTATCGGAAAGAGATCGAACGTAAAGAAAACAAGGCAAAAATAGAATTGAGAACATGCTGTATATTAATTAGTTTACAAAGAAATTTATATTCGTATGTATATTTCAGATTTAAACCGCGAAAGAGAGGGGAAAAGTGCAAAAGAGCAGAAAGTGCAAGTAAACGAAGAGCCGTTCTGTTCTCGAAATTATCACAAGACATTTACGTCAATTTACGTTCGATCTGACAGACCGGACTGTCGCACTGTCGCGTCTAACTGGCTCCGAGAGCATTTTTGCCGAAGAGGTGAGTCGCGTTGAGATATCGTACGTTTTTAATTAAAATACCGATGTGTATCGCCTAAAGGGTGCTCAATAATCATGCCGATCAAGAATGTCTTTCGCTCAGGAATGAGAAAACTCGTCAAACGGTAGTCGTCCTTTGTTCTATTTCAGTCATTTCTTTCCTGTCAAAATTTTCCTCGATTTTCGGCCTCGACGTTTCCGTCTCGTCGCGAAAAATATGAAAAATTATTGAAAAATTATGAAAAAGTTTTGTCACAAATTGCTCGAAATGTCGTCAGCAATATATTTACGTTTGTGACGCAGATTCGCGTCTCGAATAATAACTAGCGGAATTTCTATTTTAATCCTTTCGTACGATCATAAGATAATCGTTGATAAAATGATTGTTATTAGTTAAGGCCCGGGAAGAAATTTTTATTATTTTATTCCATTGTTCGATATGTGTGGAATTTTGTACATTAATATCCATTTTTTTCGCGTGAAATCTTAAGCATAAAATTTATACTACAAAGGGTGCTTTCCATTTAGTGACTCAAGTCGACACAAGCATCATTCTATCTTTATTGTTCACTGGTATTGGAAGAAGATAGAATGATACTTGTGTCGACTTGAGTCACTAAATGGAAAGCACCCAAACT